ATATATCCTTATTATCTTCCTTATATGCTTCCCCCATGTCAAGGTAAATACTCATCTCGAAACTTGTCATACCTCGATCAATTTCCTCTTTGGACAATTGTTAGCCAACGTCCCGCTTCTCGACAAAAGTAACATACTCTCGTGCCGATCAAATAGTCCTCGACCTATAAACGACCATATTTAGAGCAATTTGGTATTCATTATCCCATTTTCTATGACCTCATATGTTCTTGTTCTTTCTTATTGAAAAGCCTTTTCGATTGGATTAACCTTGATGCTTATTGGGCATGCTTCCTTCCTTCCTTACCCATGCTAAGAGATATCCGTGTCCATTCCTCTCGATCTATTTCCACTCATGGTGCTTTTCTCACCATGTCCATATACGTATCTATGGATATTCGGACAAAACTCCTAATTTCTACCCTTAGGCTATGGAGAAAATGTTCCTTCTTTCTTTCCTCATTTTTAACAACAAAGGTGGCATAGCGAGCAACCGTGTTCAAACTTACGGACATATTTCACTATCGTCATATTTCCTTGTACCAATTGGAGGAACTCCTAAATTTTTTAAGACCTCATTGCATCCAAAAAATATTTATCATTAAATAACTCCGTAGATCGATTCCATGTGAGTCCTGTCACATCGAGAGATGCTTTTACCTTCTCCCACCAATTTTAAGCATCTCTAACTAACATAAAGGTCGCATATGCTACATGATCAGCATCCGCCGAGGCAAATGCTTAAAAATAACCTCCATAGACTCGATCTATTCCTTTGCTAGGTTAGGATTCGAGGCCACCTCTAAATTCTTTTGGATTAAACCTTTGAAAATGCTTTACTATTTCGACCCTCCGTGGTAGCCACGCTTCGACTAGTCCATGCCGACTCAATTCTAAAATTCTCTATAATTGCTCCTCATGTCTCTCCTATTACAGACTTCATCATCTCTTGCTACCTTCTAAGCGACTTTATTAACTCTCCTTCTCGCTCTATCGACGTTCGGCTTAAACTTGTGTCGTTACTAATATTATTATTAACAACCCTCTTTGGTAGCATTGTTTCACCTTTTAGAAAATTGAGCGGTGACTCTATATTCAAACCATATCCTTATGATTGCCTAAATGTTGTCAAGTGACAGTACCAAGACCAAAACATAACGTAAATGAATTTTAGGGATGGAAATGAAAAAAGCACAAAAAGAAATTTGGCAAACTACTATAACAATCAAAGAAACCATAAAAATGCGATCGCGTAACGGTAAGTTGATATTATTTTGTGTCTTGATGAACGAGTGAAAAAAAAAAAACATTGTTACTCTTCCTTAGATCTTTTAACTTATTTCATAATTGTTATAAAACAAAAAAAAAACCCTAGTATATTTTTAATGGTAGGCATTCATACTAATTAATATGAATACAAAGAGCATATCCTTTACTAACAAAATTAAATCTCCAATAGAAATTCTAAAACTTCTAAATAACAATATATGTGTTAGCTAAGGTAAAAAAAAAATATTAACCGAACATTCACATGAATTCTTAAATTTGACATATTATTGTTATATTATTATAATTCTTATAAAAGGTTAAACTAAAGTAAAATTTTAATACCCCAGACAAAAATTAATAAATACAAAAGGATGATATTTTTTTTCACAAATATAATTGTGGGCCCAACTCATACTTTTAATGTTCTATTTTGGTTTAAATTAAGTTCTTTTCAATGAAGTTTAAAGAAGGCCATTAAAAAAACACTAAAAGACATGGGTTAAATTAACGAAATTCACTATTCACTTTTCCTAAATAATTAATCACTAGGTGGCAATTTGAATAATTTTTACTAGTATTTTTTCATGAATTTTTTAGTGTTTTTAGGCATTCGGATGCGAATTTAATATTTTTTCTCTATTTTCATCCCCCATATTTTTTTCAAAACATTTTTTATCGCTCATACTTTCAAAATATATTTGTGGTCCTTAAATGGAGAGAGGAGAGACAAATAAAGAAAGAAGAGAAAGGAGAGAGAAAGGTCTAGTTAGACTAGATTCTTGTTTTTCTTTTTTCTTTTTTTTGCTACTTTTACATACAGATTTTTTGTCTTCGTGAAGAGGGTGCATTCATGTTTTTTTTTTTTTCAATTCATTAAATAGTTAAATAAGGTAGATTAAAGCCCAAAAATAAAATTAATTTTTTGATTTGATTTGTAAAATTTTTTTGATATGTATTGAAATTGTTTTTAGGATTTCAAACGAGTTTATTGAACTTATTTCAGTTATTTTAAACAATATTAAACCAAAAATGATGCTAGAAATATGTTTTATAACCTTGAAAATGGAATTTCCGTTTTCAACAACTATTCCAATGATTTTTAATTCACTAGAAGCTGTAGGCTTTTTTTCTAAGTGCCACCTAGGCCTACCTCTATAGACCAAACACGCAAGCTTAGCATGGGTCTACTTCTACAGTCCAGATGCACAGTCTTGAAGTAGGCCCACACATAGGTTTTTTTTTTAGCAATTAATGCTTTTTTTAATCATTATTGAGCTTGGTGTAAAAATTATGAATAAATTTTTTTTTTTTGGATTTTCACACATACTAATAATTATAAAATATACAGGATGTGTTTTTGAATTTTAATATATATATTATTTAAAATTGATCTCTTCAATTTGTAAATTCTTATGAAAAATCTCATTAAATTATTTTTATATAATTTTTTGGTAATAAATATGATTTATTTTTCTATTTGCATAGATTTTTGAATTGGTTTTTTTAAATAATCAATCAAGTAATTATTTTTTAATAATTTTTTGGTTGTTTTTATTGCACTATATTAATCTCAATATATTCCTTATAAATTTTGTTTTTCATACATTATGGTCATACTTAGTGAATTAGAGTGTATAGTATAAATTGAAAAATATTTTTTAAACTAATTTATAAGGAATATATTAAAATTAATAGAGAGCAATAAAAACAATGATAATGAATAATATTAGTATAAAAAGATGCATTTGAATTATTAGAAGTTTCTTTTAAAATATTATTTTTAATTATTTTATTTAGAAGAAATTATTTTTAGAATATTAAAAAACATATATACACAATCCATTAGTGTTATATATGTGTGTACATACATAGATAATTTTCAATAAAATCAATTATTTTAATTTTTTTCATACATTATGAGCATAATCGAGTGAGTCGAGTATGCGGTATGAATTAAAAATTATTTAAAAATATTTTAGAATCATTAGTTTTATTAAAAATTATCTATTTAATGCACACATAATACCAATAATTTGTATTTAATTTTTTTAATATTCTAAAATAATTTTTTTAAACAAAATGATTAAAATAATATTTTAATAGAACTACCTAATAAATCAAATGCATCTTTTAAACTAATATTATTTTTTTATTTTTTAAATAAATATATAAAAATCAAATGTACAAATTTTCAAATAAATATTAAGATGTTTTTTTTTATATAAATTTTTATATTGATTGCTTGCTTTTTTCATTCGATGTGATCTTATGAAATAAATATTAATACATTTTTTTAAAATTTGATATTAAATTTTTAATTTACAATATTATAGGTTTTTATTTAAGAATGAATGCATAATGAAGAACAAATCATGTTTTCTAACTACAAAAATTATGAAAAATATAAATAAGAATAAATGAAATAAAAATTTTGATTAAAAATTATAAAATTATATTAAATTTTATCTTTTATGTTTAACTTAATGTATTTTAATTGATCGATAATATAGTGCAGATTATCAAACTGAAATAAATATATTTAGTTTTGTTTGTTACATAGCTTGAATTGCCGACTAGTTTAGAAGTATAAGTCTCTAAGATTTGTTATCCCCCTCACCCCCCTCCTCCCCGCGGTTACAAAATAGAGATTCTAGAACTTCCTAAATGAGAATATGTTTTGCCCATATATGGTTCGTGTAGTTTTTAAATTATTTTCATTGAAACATTGCATTTTTTATTTTTTATTTTTTTTGTTGATTGAGTCTTTTTACTCTTCATTTTGTTTTGTTTTTGTCCTTCTGGTATAACATTGCTAAATCAAGATTTGACATGACACATCCCTTTCTTAATGCATAACAAGTGTCATACATGAGATCTCAATAGAAAGACTTAATCTAAATAATTTAAAAAATATAAGATCTCAATCAATATAACCCAAATAATACAAGGATCAAATTATTGTATTTTTATTTTTTAATCTCCATATTATTTATATATAAAAAAATCTCATTCTAAATGGACAAAATATATCATATGTGAGACTCAATCATAGTCAAACCGTGAAATATTTTTTTAAAAAAATTGTTATAATAATTAGAAATAATAAAATAATACCAAAAAAAAAAAAAACTTAACATGTAATTATTAAAACAAAAATATAATGAATTGTAATATCGATTAGCTACAAATTCTTAGGTAGTGGTTCTAATGTTTTATGAAAACTGAAAAGTAAGAAATTTCAAATTTATGACAAATTCAAAATAAATAAAAAAAACTAGAAACTACATAACTATGAAAAGTATTTTTTTAAAAAAAATTATTATAATAATTTTAAAATAATAAAATACATATAAAATGAATCTAAAATATGTAATTAAAAAAAGCATAATATAAATATGTTCATTAAAATAAAAACAATAGTAATAATTTCTAATATATATATATATTAAATTTACCAACCAAATTATTATTCTCACCACTTTAAAAAAAATTATCAAATATATGTTCTACCAATTATCAATAATTATTATATAATAAATATTAGTAGAAGCTATATTAGTAATTTAAAAAAAATTAGTAGGAATAACAATTTAATTAATGAATTTAATAATACAGAAAGGAAGAGAGAGAGAGAGAGAGATTTCCCTAATTTGAAACCCGATCAGTACACCTTGAAAAGCAAAACTACGAAGTTCAAAGTTTGAATCATGTAGAGAGGGAATAATGCGTCATCATTCATCGCCGTTCGAGATACTAAAGTGGCCCATCTCCATCTTAGCCGTTATCCTTAACTTCAAACGGCCAAATACCACTCCCACACTATATATGAATTCAAACCTCTCGACTCTTTTCAACAGCAAAACCTTAGGACAATTCCAACATCTGACAAAAAATATGGCCTCCTCTAAGCTTAGAAGCTCATGTTCTTTCCCAAATCTTCTCCTATCATGCTTGAATTTCACTCTCTTTATCCTTTCCTCAGCCTCTGTAGCTCCAATAGTTCTCCTCAAAATGCCACCAACTTCACTGGGTTTTGCTTTCCTTATGGGCTCTTGCATTTCTCTACTCTCCTCTTTTGTCGGCTTCTACTCTCAGCTCACTCACTTCTGTTTTATAACCCATGTTTCTCTTCTCCTTGCCTCTTTAGTTGGACAAGTACTTAGCATATTGGTCTTATTTACAAGAGAGAAATCCAGCCTTGCTATGCTCAAGTCCAGCAGAGACCCCAAGGAGGCTAAGCTTTTGGTGAGATTGGAATGTGGGGTTTTGATGGCAATGTTCATAATGCAGCTGGTGGCGTTAGTGTTGAGTTGTGCCGTGCATAACTGTTGGGTTAGAGAGTACGAGGGGTTGGAAGCTGAGAGAGAGGCTACAGCCAAAAAGAGGAATAGAAGGATTGCAAGAGTCCAAGAGGAATCCATTGCAAATGTAGCTAAAATTACCGAGGTTAAAGCAAAGGAGTTTGAAGAGAAGATGAAGAGCAAGCATGGCCACTGCCAGTGGGTTAAAACAGATTTTGAAGGCTAAAACACATTTTGGTCCTTTTGGTTGTCCAGTATTTAAGTTATCTGATGTATTTGTATTGGTTTTGCTGTTTCCCCCTTGGGGTCACTACTGTGGTGGCCACTGTATGCTATTAGATTGTGTTTTATTTTATATGTAAGCACTATAGTAGTAAAATGCATTCTTTGTTTTCTTTTATATCTAATAACTGTAGTTTGGTGTGATGTGAAGGATCATATAATACTTGGATTGTGTAATTTTCAAAATTATATTAATAGAAACGATTGAAATTGTAGTATAAAAGGAACCGCTACATGATTAAGAGTAATCGTCTTAGAAGGACCAAATATTTTTATTATAAGGACTAAAATCTACTTTTAAGAAAAATATAAGACCAAAAATACTTCAATTAAAGATCAAATATAAAAAAAGGATTAAAATAAAAATTTCCAAAATAAGGAATTGAAAGGTAATTTTAAGAAAGCCTTCATTTCATTACTTATTTATAAGACTAAATGTTTTTTACTATAAGGACTGAAATGTAATTTTGATAAAAAAATATAAGACCAAAAATACTTTAAAAAGGATCAAATTATAAATAAATATAAAAATAAAGGATTAAAATAAAAATTTCCAAAATAAGGATTGAAATGTAATTTTAAGAAAGCCTTCATTTCATTACTTGTAAGGACCAAATGTTTTTTATTATAAGGACAAAAATGTAATTTTGAGAAAATATAAAACCAAAAATACTTCAAATAAGGATCAAATTATAAATAAATATAAAAATAAAGGATTAAAATAAAAATTTCCAAAATAAGGATTGAAATGTAATTTTAAGAAAGCCTTCATTTCATTACTTGTAAGGACCAAATGTTTTTTATTATAAGCACCGAAATATAATTTTGAGAAAAATATAAAACCAAAAATACTTCAAATAAGGATCAAATTATAAATAAATATAAAATTAAAGGATTAAAATAAAAATTTCCAAAATAAGGATTGAAATGTAATTTTAAGAAAGCCTTCATTTCATTACTCGTAAGGACCAAATGTTTTTTATTATAAGGACTAAAATGTAATTTTGAGAAAAATATAAGACCAAAAATACTTCAAATAAGGATCAAATTGTAAACAAATATAAAAATAAAGGATTAAAATAAAAATTTCCAAAATAAGGATTGAAAATGTAATTTTGAGAATGCCTTCATTTCATTACTTATAAGGACCAAATGTTTTTTATTATAAGGACTAAAATGTAATTTTGAGAAAATATTAGACCAAATATACTTCAAATAAGGATCAAATTATAAATAAATATAAAATAAAGGATTAAAATAAAAATTCCCAAAATAAGAATTGAAATGTAATTTTAAGAAAGCCTTCATTTCATTACTTATAAGGACCAAACCTTTTTTATTATAAGGACTAAAATGTAATTTTGAGAAAAATATTAGACCAAAAACACTTCAAATAACGATCAAATTATAAATAAATATAAAAATGAAGGATTAAAATAAAAATTTCCAAAATAAGAATTGAAACGTAATTTTAAGAAAGCCTTCATTTCATTACTTATAAGGACCAAATGTTTTTTATTATAAGGACTAAAATGTAATTTTGAGAAAAATATTAGACCAAAAGTACTTCAAATGACGATCAAATTATAAATAAATATAAAAATGAAGGATTAAAATAAAAATTTCCAAAATAAGAATTGAAACGTAATTTTAAGAAAGCCTTCATTTCATTACTTAAAATTTTGGTTTGATAGTTGCATGAGTTTCTCTATTCTTTCACAGTTTAAAAATCAAAATATCATTTTATTATTTTATTTATCTTAATTGTATCTTTTTACTAATTTTTTTTAATAATTGTGCTCTTCTATTCTTAATTTCATCCTTCCAGCTAAATTTTTTTATAGCTGCATCAATTTCAAATGGCAGAGTCACATGAAGCTAACATGTGGTTTTTTTTAGAAAAAAAATTCAAAATGCTCCTCTTTTTCTCTACCTTTATGTACAAAAATAAATAATTAATTTAATCCTTCATTTTTTTTTGACTTTCTCTCAAAATTAAAGAAAAAAAAAGAAAATTTTTTATGTATAGGAAAGAACAAAAGCAATTTTTTATTTATTTCAAAAATTTATTATGAAAATTTATTTAAAATCCAAACCAAAATAAATTATGAATTTTTTTCATAATATAAGAATAAAAGCAAAAAGCGAGATAAAAACAAGGGTATTTTAGAATTTTGTAATTATTTTTATGCATAGGAAAGAATAAAAGCAAATTTTTATTTAGGTATTTAAAAAATTTATTATGAAAATTTATTTTAAATTTTATTTCTAAAAAAATTATGAAATTTTTTTCATAACATAAGAATAAAAGCAAAAGGCAAATAAAATGAAGGACATTTTAGAATTTTTTTCCTTTTCAGAATTTTTTTTTGAAAAAATACCACGTGTCAGCATCATAAAAATTTTTAGAATAAAAGCAAAATTTTATTTATTTATTTCAAAATTTTATTTTAAATCCAAACCCAAAAATAATTATGAAATTTTTTTCATAACATAGAATAAAAGCAAAAGGTAGATAAAAAGAAGGGTATTTCAGAATTTTTTTTTCTTTTTAGAATTGTTTTTGAAAAAAATACCACATGTCGGCATCATGTGAATGCTGTTGTCAAAAATTGATGTAGTTATCGAATAAATTGGCTGAAGAGATGAAATTAAGATGGAAATTAAGAGTGAAGGGATATGCTTATTAAAAAAACTAATAAAGAAATACAATTAAGGCAAATAAAACGAGTAGAGGTACATCTTATATCTTTAACCTATTCTTTCTTTCTTTTTTATCACATCCCTCTACTTTTATTCATACGATGTTAGTCCCTTACGTTTGGTTATTGTTTTAATCTCTAATCCAGTCATTAATTTTTAAGCTAATAGCGTTATATCGCATTGTTAGTCTCATACAATTGCAACACATGTCAATTTATTTTTTTTATCTTAATCTCGTCTCTCTACTTTTTTATATCAAATTTAAATAAATAAATTTTGAAAAATAAAAAAAAATGTAGAAAAAAAAAGCGAAAATATATCCGACCATTCTCTTTAAAAAAATAAAGATAAAAATATTTTTTATGGGTTTAAATTTATTTGTATGTTAGTAAACAATTTTTTAGTATAAAATATGATATTTTAGTTTTTTTTTTTATTTAAAGAGAGTTTCAGTTAATTTTTAAAACTTTTGAATGATATTTATAATTTTTATACTATCTCAAAAGAGTTTATTATAATTTATTTATTTTAACTTTATAAATTACATTAATTTAACTCAAAATTAGGAATATAAACTTTATTAATATTTTTAGAAATATATTTTTTGTTGCAAATTTTGAATTTTTTTCATCTTAACAAGGGAATCCACTAAAAAAGATACAAAAAATTATATTTCTACTTTTGAGTCGAATAAACAAAATTTTGTAGATATAAGAAATTTTTAGATAAAAAAAATATTTTTATCTTCATTCTTTTTCAATTTTTTTTTTTTTTAGAAAGACTAGGTATATCTTCACTTTTTTTTTTTTGTTATAAAAACAATTTATTTAAATTCAATAAAAAAAAAGTAGAGGGATGAGATTCAAATGAAAAAAAAATAATAAGTGGACACTTATTACAATCCTATAAAACTAATTGTGCGATTTAACATTATTAGCCTAAAAATTAATGGATGGATAAAATTAAACAAAAACCAAATATAAAAAGACGAACATGAAGAATGCAATAAAAAACAAATCCTATGAATCATCTCATTCTATTTCATTACATCAATTACATTTGGTTTAATGGAAAATTTTGCCCCCATCCTATTGCGATTTGCCAATTTCGGATCAATAGCATCAAATCGCGTAATTTGAACCTAGTTGACCCTTACTTGAAATGTCAAAATGACATCGTTTTATTATTCTATTGTTAATTATTTTTTTCAAAAACAAAATTAAACATATTTTTAACCTTTTGATCTTGAACATTTTTTAAAACTTTTTTTCTTATAAAATATTTATAATATTTTATAAATTATATAAAAACAATTATAAATATTTTTAACTCCTAATTTAGAACTTTTTTATAAAATATTATAAACTTTTTATTAAAAAATATTTCTTATATAATTTATAAAATTAAGGGGATCAATTCTTAATTATGCTCATTTTAATTTATAAAATATTTTTTTAAGGCTTGAAATTGTATATTGTTAATTTTTTTTTTACAATAATATTTTATAATTTTTTTAAAATTCAAAATTAGGCGATTAAAAATATTTATAAAATTTTGTTGATATAAAAGAAATAGAAATATAGGAGAATTGAAGAGAAATATGATAGAAAAATGAATTTACTATAAAATAAAGTGAATACAAGAGATAACAACTCCAAATAATCTCTCGTTCTCTACAAAATATTTGTATATCAAATAATAAACAATCAAGCCTATTTATAGGTTTCAAGACTAAGGAGAGAATTGGAATGAACTATAAACTATTAAAATATGCATGAATTGCATCACCCTTTCAATTTCTCATATTAAATGGTGAATTGAATCACATTAAGAATAATGGGTAGTGGGATTATGAAATGGTCATGGACATTTATTATTTCATAACACTCTCCTTTGAATGTCCATCGTACAAGAAACATGTCTCATTAAAACCTTACTAGAAAAAAAACTCATTGGGAAAAAATCATCGTGAAGGAAAATGAGTATAATATTCATTGTACACACATTAACCTCAATGTTGGCCTTTGGCCTCCCCCATTAAAAACATCATTTGAGATCTTTAAGACGATGTATTTCAATCTTGTAAATCATCTTCTCAAACGCTGTGGTAGGTAATGCCTTAATGAACAAATCTGCTAGATTATCACTTGATTGAATTCTTCCTTTAATGGAATTATTCAAGCGACATTATCTTCATATGATATTATTGGAGCTTCTTTTGTTGGTGGATAAACTACATGT